GAGAGAGAGAGAGAAAACAGAAATTTTGTTTAGTGTATTAGTGAAACAATTAGTGGTGAAGGACATGATGCATTCGATGAGAAGAGTGTTTTGTAGTATTAAAGCATTTAGCTATTTTTTTTTTTTTAAATATGCGCTTCAGAATTCGGTGGGGAAATATTATAGATATTTTATAAATGTGTCTGAAAATGTATGATTGTTTTTTTTTTTTTTTTTTAAGTTATTATTTTACCAATATTCGCCCAATTCTATACTCATGATCATGATCAGTAATCATAGAAATTTATCTAGAATGAGAGAGTGAGATTTTTTAATAAAGTATTGGCTGGTGGTAATTTTAAAATTAATACAAATTGTAGTAAAAATAAAAAAGTTGCATCGCCAGTTTTAGCATGAACACTAAACCAAACACAAACAATTAATCAATTTGAGTCACTGTTAATTTAGAATTAGTTCAAGAGTTCACTCCATTCGTACAAAAAAATGCTTTACCTTTTTTTTTCCAACGGCTTTGGGTATTTTTAAAAAGATATACCATCAGCCAAATATTATTAATATCTTTTTTGTTTTTTTTGTTTTTTTTTTTTTGTTTTTACTTTTATTAACATATCTCACACAATTTCCCTAAATGTAAATCATAAAATTGAAAAACATATATTGGAAAGATACATTGATCATATTTAAAAATTTGTTCATCATATATGCACTCGTATATATATATGTTTTGTCGATTACAGTTAAATACGCTAAGACACTATACATTTATCTTTCTTTGTTCGATCATTCTTGAAAGATATGTTAGATCTCGTAGATTCACGCTGATTTGAGTTTATTAATGGAAGAGACTTTGTGACTTGAGAACGTTTACGTTTATCAGTAATATTGTTTAACGTATTAAATGTCGTGTCTATTTCGCTATTACTGTCTGTTGTTTCGGTTGAATATTCCAAGTTCTTATTCTTTTTTGTTACATTATTACATTCATTAATAATAACATTTGATTCGACCAATCTTTCGTTAATTTTAATGAAATTTATTTGCACGTTATTGGTAAATCCTTCCTCAAAAGGAGATGGAACGTTAGCCTTTTGTTTCAAAAATTTTCTTCTTACTGGAACATTAGGAGTATTTTGTACATTGGACACGTTGAAACTTATTGAGGATCCATGTTTTCTTTCTGGTTTTTTTGGAATTTCGTCTAGAATTAAATTATGATTTGTATTCATTTTGGCTACACGTTTCGGTACCTCGATATTCTGTTCAACAATTTTAACTTTTGTGATTTGCTCGCGTTCAACGGGTAAAGTTGTTAATTCGGAAGAAGATTTGGAATTTTTATGTAACGAGGGAACAGTTTTATCAGCAACATTTTTTCTTCTGTTTAAAGTATCGTCACTTGCATGCAAAATGTCGTATTTATTAGTTTTAATAGCATCAAGTTGTGGTGTTGATAATATCGCTTTCGCATTAGTATTACCATCGCTGATAGAACGAGTGTTATTTGTTTTTTGTTCGTATAATTTGATTTCTGGAATATCATAGTTTTGGAAATTCGGAGTTTTATATAGTTTCACTTTATCTTGTACGTTTTCGAGACAGCATTGGTTGTCTGTCTTCTCTTCGAGCAACATATTTTCAAAAGCGCCTTCGTTGGATTGTAAAATTATTTGTTTTGCATTTATTTCATGCGATTCAGTTTTTAAACTGTCATTCGTTAATGGTAATTCATTAGTGAAATTAATCATTCTATTATCTTTTTCTGATTTAGTATTCAAAATGTTATCAATTTGTTTTACAGATAATGGAGTTTGTTCTATACTTGTATCATCATTTGATTTCTTTTCACTCTGTGAGAAGTTATTTAAATCTATATTCTCTTTGTTCACGTAATTTTCTTGAAATTCACATTTTTCCATATTCGATTGTTCGTGTATATTTTCTACTTTTAATTTCATAGGCAGCACATTTAAATGCAATTTAGATTCAATATCTTCAATATCGATCGAAAATATTTCTTCGTTTTGTTGTTTTATTTCTTCGAATTCTTTATCAATTTCACTTAATCTATCCACGTTATTTTCTGAATTTTCAAGTTTATAATTCAATTTCTCCGAAAATTCGGGCTTCGTTTTTCGAAAATATTTCATTATATCTTTCGTTTCAACTTTATTAGATAATTTTGGCTTAATATCCAACTCGATAACTTTGATATCAGACGATTTTTCCTTTTGAGGAAATATAATACTTTGATCTTTTGGATTTTTTCCATTTGTGAAATATATATTCATTTTTTTTCGAGCATTTTCAGTAGATAACGGTCGAAGTTCACCCACTGGAATTTTATTCCTTGCTTTTCTTTGCTTTAAATCTCGTTTTAATTTATCGAATGAACTATTCCCATCCGATTGAATCATTCGATTGTACGGCATTTCTTTAGGTACTGTTAATTTAGCAGTTTCAAATGCTTCTTCCAACGATTTTTCATTTGTCGGTGATGGTGAAGTAACAGTTACGATTGGAATTCGTTTAAAATCCTTTAATCTCAATTTATCGTCGTTTGTAAATTTTTTATAATTTCGCGTACCATCCGAATCATAAATTTCTCCTTCTTCCGCGGTCATTTTATCTTGCGTATCGGATATCAACGCTTCGTCGTATAACGTTTCTGTTGATTTATAAATTTCGAATGAAGAAGATGGCGACGATTCTCTACTACAGTTTGGAGACGAAGTGATTAGATCTGGTAATTTCTCCTTGAAGCTTATTACAATTTCTTCGGTATTAGGCTGGATTGTATTATTGTAACTAGTCTGAGAAAATGGTATAGCATCTGGAAGCATAATTCCTGCAAACGCTGTTTGCAGTTTACTATCATTTGTTCTGAAAGGGTAATATCTAAGTCAGGCATTGCTTTGTCATTCACTTCATTAGAATTAATTATTTGAGTTAATTTATTATCGGTATTACTTATTTTATCTAAGTTTTCATCGAGAGAAATCATATTATTATTTAATATATTACTAGTGTCATCGTCAAACGTAGAATTGACCCGATTATTACTTTCGTTTAACGATTCTTTTTGAATTTTTTGATTTTGATTTAAGCTTGGAAGACCACTCTCATCCACTAAACTCTCATATTCCGAAATAGATTCGTCTACATTATCATGCGTATTGGAATTATTTTGTACTCTACACATAATGGGATTAGAAAGAATCGAGTATGAATCTGAATTTACGATATTATTGCCTCTATCGTCCGATGTTAAATTACAAGGGGAATCAGACAAAGGAATTAAGCTTCCACATGCCACGTTTCGATATGTACTCTCCTCGCTACCGAATTCTACTCGTTGATCTGTGTTTCCTACTAACGTGTCATCAATCATCAGTATTTTATCAGGCGATTTTTGCATATCTTCTGCACCGTTATTATCTTGATCAACGTCACTATTATTCACGTTTACCTCTTGGAACGATATTGAATTGGGAATTTGTACAGGAAGTATAAGAGATTCTTGAATTATGTTATCTACAGAATCTTGAGAAATTTTCACCTCCGTTTCTGAACCGCTGTCCGTATCGGAGCTACGTGTGGGATTCTTCAACCAAACTTCCTGCTTTCTAAGTTCTCGGGCGCGTATGTCGTCTTCATCTTCCGTAGCAGTTGTACTTTCATCGTCTAAATTAGAAATTAAATTAATTTCTTTTTCACAGTATATATATATTTTTTTTCGATAAAAAAAAAAAAGAAAAGAATAGAAGAGAGTAAGAATAGTCGTGCCTTCATTCGTATACTCATCGCTAGAATCTTCATATTCGTTGCTCCCTGTATCAGATTGTCCCATTGCTGCGTGGGGATGAGAATATCGTAGCGTCCAATTTTTCGCAAGTTCAAGAGTTCCTTCGGTTGTTAACGGTTGATCTATTGCCTCTTCGTACACTTCGTTGTCATCGTCTGAATCGCTGTTGAAATCATTTAAAAAATTTTATCCTTCGACACTTCTTATTTTTAACAATAAATGATAACGATAAATATACAACTCACCTCATATCCGAAATGTCATCACTGGATCCCATCTCTGCGGTAGAAGCCCCGAAATTCCTATCCGTCCATTCATCTTCGTCCATTTGACTTTGAGGTTCTTCAGCGTCCGATATCCCTGCTAAATTCTCGAATTCTATTCTCTCGGGTGTTTGTCCACGATCAAGTAAATCAAGACCAACAACACCTTCTAGGGATATCTTTCCCTGAAAATTGTAATTGTATTATTTTTATCCTTGTACGATCAAGAATCGTACAATCAAGTTTTCAAGAATCAGTACTTTTTCAGGTGTTTTCAGATTTACAGACGTTGCAGCGGGTATATTTTCTTTATTCAACGTAATTTTCTTCTTTTCCACGCGAGTCTTCAACGTTCCTGAGAAACCAAAATGTTGCGTACAATAAAATCGTCCTCCATTTTTATCCCGATCAAACGTATGGTTTCCTATAATATCAAAGAGATTAATAAAAGCTGTGTACTTTTTTTTTTTTTTTTTTTAATTTTAAAAAACAACTTAAAAGATAAATACGAAACCTATTCTTAACGAGGTAGAACAATATTCGCAACGGAAACATCCTCGATGGAAAAATTTCCCTTCGGCGCTAAGTCTCTCCATTAGATAAACTCTTTTGTTACAAAAATGACACGTTTCTGAACCTCCTTGAGCAGGTAACGTTATCGTGGGCTTGACATTCTATAAGAAAAGTAACAGAGAAACGAAGTAACAATTATTAAATTAATATTTTTAACAGGAAAGAAATCTTTTAGTCAGCAATTTATATCATTTATAAAACGTCAACGTATTATGTCATTTATATAATACGTATGTTATTAATTAATAATAACGCATCAAGGATAACAGTTAAAAAATACATTTATCGACGTTAAGGATTTTCTCTCAGGATAATAAACATTTTGATTTCTGAATCAAAACTGACACGATATCGTTTAGTAAGGATAAACGTGAACGTACATTACTTGTTGTACGTTATCGTGCATATCGTAACAAAATATATAATATATATTCTGTTAAAACCTACAAAAAAAAAAATATATATATATATTATATAATTTACAAATACATGGGTACATGAGATGACTCGCCTCTCTTGAAAAAAGTACGAAAAATACAAGACACGTCACAATATCTTCTGCTGACTATACCCTCCAGTATTGAGATTTTAGAATATCGTATTTACCGATTTCTGCATCTTGGGCTCCGCGTCCTGACTTTTATTTGAAAATTGTTCGGCCATTGCCGAGACTTTATTGTACCCAAGCACATTACCCTCTTTGATCTTCCTGTCAATATTCTTCAGGGTATTGTCAATATCAGCGTACTTACTATCTGTCTCCCTTTGATCACGTCCCTTCTTCTCCATCTTGATTTGTCGAGCTAAAAACTGAATGAAGCATATACACATCTGAAAAAGATTGATTATCGGGTACTGCTTAATCATTCGCATGCCAACCTGTTCTCGACTCCATTTCGGCACTCGTTCTACTTTGTCGTGTCGAACCAAACGACCCATTTTATTCTCTTCGATTTTCTTCTCGATTTCCTTCACATTCCAATCGGTCTTCTCAATTTTACCTTTATCAACGTAACGTAACCATTTTATTTTACGATTAAGATAATTCTATATATAGTATTAGATACACGGTACGTAACACGGAAGGGAATGAAATAAATAAAAAGAAATAGGATAATACAAACCGATTGCACGTAGAAGATCTCTGGGTTTCTTCTCGACCGGTGTAGATCCTTTCAGCTTGTCTTCGATGCTCTTTATTCTACCGGAGAACTCTTCGTCTATGCTGTTTCTATGATGACCAGCGTGAATCTTAGGTTCTCTATCCTAAAATAAAAGGAACGGCATGGAATAAATTTGAACGTGCGCAATCGAGAAAAATAGACGACCACAATTTAATAAAAAAATTCGATAAAAGAAGCGAAAATGCACTATAATTTGTAATCACAGTAATACACGAAAGTAATCACAGTTTATAAAAAAAAAAAAATTTTATTCAACAAGAGGTCTCGCTTGCCTTAATATCCCTTAATATCTTCATTATTTCGGTCGAAATAGAAGGACACTTACATCGGGGCAAAGTTTTTTTTTTCCAGAACGAGTTGATTTATTACAATTAATCTCTCTAAAAGATAATTTCTTTTCGAGTCCAAAGTTTTGTAATCGTATACACAATTGTATTATTCTTCGTTCCGAATCGAACAATTTTGTCTCGACACAATTTTTTTTCTTTTTTAACGATCGAATAACGAAGATATCAAAGTATCATCAAGATTAATTATTTTCTATGCGGTGTACAGTGTTAATGTTACAGTCGTTTAAAGATATGTAAGCACTTGCAATCGATATGTACAAAAATCCTTTTTTTTTCTTTCTTTCCTGACGATTTAGTTAGTAATGTAATTTATAGCCTTTGCACCTTTCATATATATATATATTATTAATGCATAAATATCATGCGTATCATTTAAAATTATCCTTGTAATAGTTAGTTTAATACATGTGATATATTATAATTGTAATATTTCATTATTGCAACGAAAACTTTTCAAATAATTTTTATTGCACACAATAAAAGTGAAATTAGTAATGTAATTCATTTTTTTTTTTTACATTGTTTAATTGTGCATACGTTCAATATTATTAAATTGTCAATTTGATTATTGAAGAAAGTAAAAAATGATAAATATTTTACACATTTCTTTTTTTTTTTTTTTTTTTTAGTTTAAGTGTTTGTTAAATTTACTGAAATAACGAGAGAAAGAAAAAGAGAGAGAAAGAAAGAGAGAGAGAGAAGAAAAAAATAAAGAAAAAGAAGAAACATTATTGCACTCTCAAAATTCATTCACTTTTCCAGCTTACTGGATATAATATTTTCTGCTCTAGGTATTTCACCCTATCCTTGAAATCCGGTGCAGTTTGACGATACAAGAATATCGAATAATCTTCGAACGGCTCGTCTTTCTCGCGTTTTGCGTTCGCTTGCAGCATCTGCATACTTTTGTAGAATTGCTGCGTCGCCATATTTCGTAAATATTGCCGCCTTCTCATACGCTCTGCGCGATTTTTCTCTATTTCTGCGAGTCTCTTCTGCCTTTCCTCCTTTACGCCCACCGTAAAATCGTACAGTGATATTAATTCAATTTTGTTCACATTATTTCCTTTTTTTTTTTTTTCTTTTTTTCTTTTTTCTTAACATCAACTTAATTCTCATTCGTTTCATCACAATTTATACGTTGTTACAGCTTATGTTACGTGGTGGTTTTCATCAAATATTATATTATATTATATTTGTAACGATCACAATGGATGAATAAAAAACAAAAGAGGGTAAGAAAAAAAAAAAAAAAAGAATGGGGTATATAGTAATTTAAACTCGAGTTTTAGGCTACGCTAACATTCCAGAAAAAGAAAAAGAAAAAAAGAGATATAGGAGGAGAGCATCTCAACGGTTTCTTTGGAGAGATCTAGATTAGATTTTTTTTTTTTTTTATCATCCAATTGGGATATCTAATTGGGAGATAGTTCTCTATGCAATCATCTATTTGTTCGAAACAAATATTTTAGTAATAATATAGGACAAATACAAAAGCTGGCGTAGCAAATATATTATATATGTAATATAATATAACATAAACATAAATATGATAGAAAAAGTTTAAAACATAACCGAGAGTTTTGCAACGTTCCATTGATACTTTTCGTCGATTATACGAAGCGATTAGAATGTAAAGACTTCCTTCTGCACCATGGTAATAGTAACTCCAATAATTAAGATAAACAACGATATGATTATCCCACGATACATAAGTGCTTCAATCTTCTGCCACCGTGACTATAGGATATAAGCAGTGTAAGTATCGTATGTGATTTGTTAGTGTTTTCGAATTATTAACCCTTTATGGAATGATGTATAATACGCGAAAAATAAAAATAACAAAAAAAAAAAATCCATTCCATAAAGCGTTAAATATGCGATTCAATCCTTTGCATCGACTCTTTTCTTCACATATTCTTCTATATATATATATAAATAATAATAATAATTTCGAAATAAAAAATAATTTATCACAAAGGATTGATCTCAATATCGTGTGAAAAAAGAATGTTTGAACCTTGGATGATCTGCTAACTAGAAGCTTTCGAAAAACATATGGTTAAAAATTTGTAAAGAAAAATGTTCTTATTTTTTTTTTTTTTTTTTTGGAGATATTAATACATTATCGGATCGATGATATTTTTCGATTTGATTAAAAAAAAAAAAGAGAAAAACGACTTACCACTGTCGCGCCCATCTTCTCCGTGCTTCGTCTCTTTCGAGAACGTCGGCTAATCGTGTCCCCCTTCTTATCCGCGGGGTTTAAATTTTCGTTATGACGCGATCGTGAGTGTCTCGTTCTCGTTGCGCTATCTTGCCTGACGATACGGTCAATTAACTGAACTTTTTGATCGGGTGTCAATTGTTTACTATGTGCGGGCCTTTCTTCGTTTTCAGGTTCCTTTATAAAAGACGATCAAATACAGTCGTTATACAATTGTAACAAAAAAAAAAAAAAAAGAGAAGAGAAAGGAAAGAAACAAAAGAAAAAAAGTCGCTACCGTGGAGGAAAAGTGAAATTAATTATGAAAAACATTTTACGGTTAGTAACTTCTCGTTAACTTTGTTATTGTTATCCAAACGATAATAACACTCGTCGTCTCTATAGAAGCGATTCGGTGGTATGAACATATTCTTCAATGATGATGCAACTATATTGTTTCGAAGTTTATTTCTTATCCAGCTTATAGCAAATTTCTCATCCACTTCTGTAACGTTTGCGCTTAACGATATTTTGTTATTATTGTGATCTAACGATTCGACGATGGTCTGTCGTGAGATTGTTGTGGGGATGGGATATGATTCTTTTCTTCGATCGTAAACGATGCACGACGGTCTACGATTCCAATGGGAGGGAGGATCGGGCATTCGTGGGCGAGGATGGAACTTTCTTGTTAAAAAATGTTCTGACGATTGTGAATGTTCGTTCCGTGATTTCGTACATGATACCGAATACTAATAAAATACCGATTAAAAATCTTCTGACATGATTCCACGTCGTGCGAATCTACTTACTAATTTCGGATGTTTAATGTACGGGATTTCACCGCGGAAAACCTCGTATATCTGTGTGAGGTAAGAAAACATGGCAAGTTTATCGGGAACGTCGCACTGGGCCATTTCCTCCCCTGTCATTATCTGAAAATCCATCCACTCCAGTTATTTTTCTCTTCCGAATATATAATAACAATTGCGATTATTATTGAACGCAACGCTCACAGGAGGTATGCCCAATTCTTTCTCCAATATATCGAAGGCCAATTGGTTGTTCGTAACCGCGTCGTCCGCCTTCAAATTGTGGAAATCTATTAGGTTTGGACGATATCTGTGAATTATCGCACAAATAGCCAGACCATTTTTGAACGAGGCGCCCATGTCCCTTATCTGAACCGAGTCGTAGAGGGCGACCTGCTTTTGCAGCCAGCGAAGCAGCGTGTCCGGATGCACTTGCGAATCTCCACGCAAATCTGTATGACAACACAGTTAATTATAACTTAAACTTAATTTATTCCATCAACGAACTTAAACTTACCCCGACGACGTCGCTTTTTAGGGATATCGATATCAGACTGGACAGGGGGCTGCTTCACGCTGTCGGGATCATCCGTGTCGAGTAGACTTCGCACTTGTATCGGTGTCACCGACGACACGTTCAAATTGGGATATCTTGGGAGGAGAGAATGGACAAACGTGAACGACGACGCGTCATTCATAGAACAGAGGGCTATTATATATATATTATATACGACACCTGGTATGAGGATCGAGCGTGTACGCGGCGTAATCTCTGTTTAAGTTCTCAGGCGTAGTCTGGCCGAGCAGCCTGTAAATCGACTCCCGCTCGGCGATCACTTCCAACGGCGACACGTTCGCGCCCCACCCTTTGATCGCCCAGCAAGCGTCCAACGAGCTTAGAAATCCTCTCGCGCAGCCGGATCCCGTCGGCCAGAACGGCTGTAACAATTTCAATAACAGCGTGGAAAAATGAAATGTGCGAATGAAATTTTAACGATAAGTAAAGTACCTCGAGCAGGCTATCGCCGACCAGGATCATAAGTAATTTATGGCCACGACGTTCCAAAATTCGACTGGCATTCTCCGCCGCGTACATCGAGGTGAAGTCGAACATTGCCACGTCTGGTTGGCCGTAATGGTTCACCGCGAATTCCATACCGATCATTTGATACTCGGTGGAGAATTCGGCGGCCTCTCGGGCGTAGAGCATCAACGCTTCCCGATCCACGTTTTCCTTGGCGAGTAGTTTCGCCGTGTCCGCGTGATCCTGAAACAAAATTAGAATTAAATTTGGATAAACGATAAATCGAAATGAATAGATTTATACCTGCAAAATCACACCCTTGTCGATCAGGCTGTGCTTCTTAGCCGTCATCACGAAATAGTGAGTGTCGTCTTTGTAATACACGATATTCTCCAGATCTATCCCCGTCTCCTGGTACAATTCTTTAAAAAACTTTTGATTAAAGATGAAGGCGACCCCGCTAATTTCTTCCACCCGGGCTTCCGCCTCGGTCCGTTTATTTATGAAGTTGGCCGTTATCGCGATCGCCAATTTACCCCTGAACTCTTTCCGCTTAAAACCTTCCAACGTGTTTCTCTTCCCGTCGGCGCCGATCAACACATCGAACTCGTATTGAGAGACCGGATGATCGGCAGGGGTGGTTTTTGCTCTCCAACCGACCTCTGCAACAGAACAATTGCATGATTTCATCGTTTTCTTTTTTTCATTCTCGACGTTCTCGGCTCAACTCGTTTTGCTTTCGTACTTTTATCGTACAGGGGTGAAGCTACGACGAGGAATTTAGAGATTTGAAAAATCTCCCATCTCCAACGAGATTTTAAGAAAGACAAATCCTCGTTTTCACTCGTAAAATGTCGTAATTTTCGAGTAATAGACAGAGATCACTTACTGCCCTCTTCCTGGTTCTCCGGCGGGGATATCAGAGCGTCGAAACTGACGCTCTCGTGGAACTCGACGCCAAGGATCAAAGCGACTTTGAGCAGTATGCATTGAAGCTGTCGAATGCTTATGTGATCGATGGAGCCGGCGCAGAATTTGCCGAAGAATTTTTTCGCCCCCAGGGCGCGAAGGTCGTGGATGACGAACGGCCACAGATGGAGGACGTTGTTCCTGGACATACGATCCCGTTTCTCTACTACGACAACCTTGGCTCCCAACAATTGCGCCTCTATCGCCGAACGAAGGCCGCACGGCCCCCCTCCGATGATCAACACCTGAAATCAATATCACGTGTTCGTAGAAATTTCGAAACATCCTCGAGAGATATTTTTTTAAGAGAAGAATGTTGATTTAAATTCTTTATTTTTTTTTTTTTGTTGAAATACTACGCTTACCCTCGTGTTCGGGCACGCTTTGCCACGATTGTAGCATTTGTAATTGGCCCTCTGATCGAACTTTTTCCAGAGAGCTTGAGCCTTCCACGATCGCAATTTCGCTTTCAATTTTGGGTAAAATTGATTGATCACGTTCGGCCTGATCCTGAGCAACTCGCAGAGATGCCTGTAGTGTCCCAGAATCGATTTCAATGTGGTCGCGTTGCAAAACAGATCGAACTCCTCGTTAGCTTTCGCTATTTCCGTCGAGCTCATCGTTTGCTTCCGATGCTCCATTTTCTTTCTTCCTGTCCTGTCCTTCCTGCTTTCGAGTCAGTTTCTCATTACCTGCAACGAGACAGCATTTCAAAAATTCTACTATTTCAATGATTTGACTTGAAATTCTATGAAATAATAGAGCGAGCTAAGATAGAGAACAGAAAAGGATACGTAACACAAATTTCGTTAAACAGAGCGGAGAGAATCGAAACACGCGTTATTACATCAATTGGATTATTTCTTAATCGATACGTCGAAAATCAAACGTAATTCCATAATGTTTCTCCTCGGACGGAACACGTGACGCTTCCGTTCGCCTGCAAACGCCTGCCTCCTCCTATCGATTTTCTATTATCTCACGCGGGACTTAAGTCTATCGACGAGTGCCTAGAAACGAACCGTTAGAAATAATATCCGTTTCCCCTGAAAATGCAGTCAAAATTATACAAAGTTGAACAAGGAGACATCGTGTTTAAATTTCGCTTAAACTTGGCGAATTAATCAACTTTCTCTCGATACGATCGAATTTTAAAAACGAATAAAAAAAAAAAGGAACGAAAAGATATCGACTATTTCTCCCTTCTCCTGTCTATAATAATTCTCTCGACAACCGTTCTCTCGAATCTAGGCTCGTTCCCGGACCATCCTCTCGAAATGTCACGAGGTGCCGGCCGACGTGCCTTCTGCGTGCCTTTCGCGGCTCGATTCGACCATAATACGGTCGTCCTCCCGATAACCGCGGTCTAAATACAACCCGAAGAAATCGTGGCGATGCACTGTAGACTATAGACTACTACTACGGAGCGAGAGAAAGGGGAGGAGGAGGAGAGATTCAGAGTCACGCTCCTCCGCTATTGATTTACGAATCAATTTAGAAACGACTTCCGCGATACGAGCCCCATAATTCACGCGGATTAGCCAGCCGAGCGTGGTGTGCCACAGTCTCTCTGTACGTAACCATCGAGGAGGACCACTAGCGCCGCCAACCGTCCCTCTAAGTTACGCCAACTGAAAACGAAGCGATCGCAGGTATACATCGCGTGTAATTGCCAGCCCGTCTCTGTGGGAACGAGGTTAAACTACGATCGAGTAGTTTACAAAACGTTTTCACACGCAATGACTCGAATATCGCGATAGAGATTCGCTTAAAGATCGGTGGATCCATTGTTTGATGCTTAATTAGAAAAAACTACCTCTTACTTACGTAACCATCGACCTTCCACACCATCGTAATCATCTCTCGGCATATTTATCGTCACGTGTCGCGTGCATTTTAAGCGCGCGACACGGGTCGATATTCGTTAACGGAGAGAAAAAAAAAAAGAAAGGACACTTTCGAGCGTTCTCTGAATATTATTCGCAAGGTCGTAATTTTATCAAGACAGAGCGAACGCTAATTCCTGTATACGGTATACAATGACTCGTTATGCACGATCACATCCTCGCGATCGTAATATCGTATTATTAGCAGTCGATACACCCGCTGATGCTGCTCTTCCACGCGGTTCTTTGAACTTACGACCTGATAACTCAGCCTTTGCCCAGTCCTCGCCATACCACGGAAACGCGCGTAACTTTCCCCTATGGACACATCCTTCGCAGAGATCAAAGCGAACCTTCTCCTCCTCCTCCCATAGCGATATCGATCGCCTCCTCTCCTCCTATCCACACGACGCTCGCTCCTTTTACGATAATAACGGAAATTTGTTCGAGGATGATTTATATTATACTCTTATCTTTCCTTCTTTCTGTTTAAGGTTGATGTTGTTTGTTGGATTTTTCGCCACGATGAAAATAGTTGGCAAGGATGTTTATTCGTGCACGAACCTCACTTCCGGAGGGGAGGTATTTATGTAATTAATAGCGAAGGTGAACGAACGTGGAGGATTTATGCGCGTTTGAAACGATGGAGCGAAATGCCCGATTATCGAACGAGTTTCGGGAGGAAGGATACTTGAATATTGCTGCAAAAATTGTTATTTTTCAATAACTCGACGAGATTTGGAATTATGGAAAATAATATATATCTTTCTCTCGAAGATTAATTATGCAGAGATAAGCTGTTACAGATAGTATAATTTCTTTTTAACTTTTTATTTATTTATTTCCTTTCTTTTTTTCCATAATAAATTATCGCGTTAAAGATTAAGCGAAAAAACACGCAAGTACACAAGATTGAATATCGGTGTTTAGTCTACCGTGATATCGACTTTGTTCCTTATTAACGATGCACTTTTTCCCCTTTTCTTTTTTTTTTAATCTCGCACGGCGATGAAAATAATCGTGACGTCGCGGTTATTTTATTTTCACTCCACGACTTCCGGGAAAAGTGCGATCAATAAAAGATCGATGAACTTTTATTGCAAAACACGCAACTTGAAAAAAAATAACTAATCTAATTTAATCTTATCTCGCGCAGAAAATAGAAACCGATAATTATAGTATTAATAACCGCACAATAACTTAAAAAAAAAAAAAACAAACTTTCCAACTTCGTTTCTAATTTTCGAAAACGCGATGCTTTCGCAAATCGATTAAATTTTTTCCAATCCGATATAAAATATCGCAACGCATCATTCTACGTCTACACAAATTTTTCCAACGGTGTTGTAATGCGCGTTTATGGGAGCAATTTGCGAGGTATCCAGTTACGAGAGAGAAATTTTTCGCGGTTTATTCGAATCGTGTTTCCGATTAACAAGGACGCAAAAATAATTGACGTGGGCGCGCATCGAGTTCGTACACATTTATTCGTTCAACGAATTTTCGTTTATAAAAAAAAAAAAAAAGAAATTACGTTCGAAGAAATTACGTAGTCGATTTAAAAGGCGGAAACTACTCGGACGTTTCCTCTCCCACACATTTTTCCCCCTAATCATCGAACTTGTGACTCAATTCGAAATTAAGTGGAAATACCTTGTGTTTCGCAACGAATCGGATTAACAGTTGCATCTCGAATATAACCAGGCTCCTCCTCCTTGATCCGGCCACGGATTCGCCTCGATTTTTTCTCGGTGAAAAAAAAAAAAAAATTGCAAAAGAAGAGATATAATGTATCTTTTTGAACCAGATACCGTGGAATTTCGAGCAATTAGTCTCCGCGCACGTGACGTGAGATGCAATAAAAAGAAGAGAGAGAGAGAGAGAGAGAAAGAAGGTCGTATTAAATTTAAAACACGGAAGATCACGGAAGTGCATACGTACGCGGAACGAAGAGAAGAAGATGGCGAGAAATTAACTCGCGATACGAGGAGAGGGGGGGGATAACGCGATTTAACCGCGAATTCGAACAAGCGCGGCGATAAATCGAGACACACGTATACACTGCTTGGCTGGTTTCGCACCGAAGGAGAAATCGTTTCTCGTAGTCGAGCGCACGATCAGCTGTTCCGGCCATTACAGCAAATTGTCCGGGCAAACGAGCGTCATCCGACGTTATACCTACGCACACCACCTCTGTACACTCTGTCTCTTTGAGAAACTACGAGAGAGGCCCTTCCTTCTTCTTCTTCTTCTTCTTTCTCTTCTCTATTTTCATGTTTAAATTTATTAATAAACGTGGACGTTTATTGTTTTTTAGATTTTTAAAATACTTTTTACCCACTGAGTCGAACACGGCGTTGCGCAAATGCGTTCACAAATATCGCGAAGAAGAAAACGTTTATTCTTTGCATTTATATTTAAAAAAAAGTTAGCAATCAAGGGTCCCTAATTATATTGTAAATAATGTGCACGAGCGCACAACGGGTTAGAAATGAAAAAATGAAGAGACGATGGAAAACTGTTGCCCCCCTTTCCTCGACGGATGGATCTAACGCGATATCGAAAACAGCGCACAGAAATTTACCGTAAGGTTTATATCGCGCCACCTGCCACGTTTGCGAGCGACCCGAATGTTAAAAAGAAGGAGCGTAAACCGGGCAAACGGTTCACTGGGTTATCTATTAGAAGTCTAGGAACACTGGTTGAGCAACGTAGATACGCACGAGGCGTGGTGGCCCATGTTTTGGAACAAGTTGGAACCAAGCCACTGTCCTAGCCCCTGCCTTATCCTAGGCGCGAGAAACAAAAGTAGACGGGACGCAGAAAGATTCTATCTCTCCATTTTAAGAAACGGCGAGCAGAAACGCTTCCCTCGAACACCGCCCCTTCCTTGCACATTTTTCGTTATATATATATATATTATCTTTCCTTTCTTAAAAAAGAAAAGACTTCTTTCACGGATAAAATTTATCGAAATTTAAAGAAGAAAAGAGAATGGGTAGAGGCGGAGGGAAGAAGAGTTGAAAGATGGGAGAGGAAGCCAGATCTCTCGCCTTTATCTTTAGATGGCTCGCGCGCGTACGAAAAAGGAGCGGGCCGAGCGTATCGTTCACGGAATATACCTGTTTTCCCGCGAAACAAAGTAACGGCGGCCTTTATACATAAATGATCAGAGGCAAGGAGGGCAAGCGTTCTATAAATACGACGAACGAGAGATGACGGTCTCAGGTGGCTCTCTCGGTAAAAAAGTGGTGACCGACGAAACACCTATATATATATATATATATATATATATATATATATATATACTACGAACTAACGTTACCTTACC